TATCATAATGATTAAATGATTTAAAAGTCCGCAGAATGATTTGAAATATGTCTGTTCATTTTTGAAATTTCAAAAAGATTGAAATATGTGTGTCTAACCACGTTGGAAAAGCTCATACATATTTTATAAAGCATCAGCTATTATATTAAAAATGAATATGAAACTTGAAAGTGCAGAAAACTAGAAAAGAAACATTTGTCAATCATAACTGTCAAAACATAACAAATGTATCAAACTTTCAATGAGATTGTTGCAAATGTTCAATTATTATTTATGTATGATAGTGCATTTATATATAAGTCAATTTATATATCAGTCAATTTATATATAATTACCAGTTGGAATGGAAAGCTTTATAATATGTTGCTTTGTAATGAAAAAAGGTTTGACACAAAGGCTTTTCGATTAAATTTTTGAAAATATCGTTATGTCGTGCTTGCAACGGTTGATCAAAAATTGTTACCAAAAAATTCAATTACAGAGTGAAACATGAAAACAGACTTTTCAAAAATAGAAGGAAACCAATTGAAGCTTCTGTTACATGGAAAATGTGAAATCTACGAACGAAAAAGTTATATGCTTCGTACATTTGTGTATCGCAGGAACGATCTTATTTACTTTCATATTGTCGCTCTCATTCGATAATTTACTTTCACATTGTTGCTTTAAACTTATTAAGTTGCAATCGAGAAATACATTTCATCTCAAAAAATAGTTAAGCTACAGATAAAACAAATATTGCTGCGAGATGTCGATAATCGATGAACTCATTGAAAGTTCGTCGTAATACTTTGTGAAATAAAATAAGACAATTCGCTGGCAATACGCGTGAAAATCGTTGATTCGTTGTATCACTGTTGTCCAGCTATTTCGCACTGATTTCGTCGCCGTGGGTCCAGGTTAAATATACTATGCCTTATGGCATCATTATTGATTGATCGGCTGTCAACGACATTCGTGCACAGAATTATGCTTCGCGGTGGATTTATATGGGTTGCGTGCTGTCATCGAAAACGTTGATACAAATAATATCGATGCGCGCAACGTAGGAAGATATTATGCAACGAAATTGAAATTTTCAAATCACAAAACCATGATTGAAGTTTTGGGCATCATCCACGTTTCCTTTGAGCAGTTCGTTAATTGGAAATTCTTGGGTTACAAATAAATGTCGCTTAACTTTGAAACTTGGAAATTTATCATTGAACCACGTATCCAGAGATAGTTAACAGTATCTTTCGGATGATGAGGAATCGAGGCTGTAAATATACCTATTAGCGTGCGAAACTCCGGCACGAAATTTAACGACGATCATAATAACGATCAGAAGCTGTTTCAGCGCATTGCGGAAGTGGAAGGATTCGTATGATCTGGCTTGAATTGTATCGTAATAGAGATATAATTTCTGCTTTGCAGATTGAATATTACGTGGCAGGATGGATGCTGAAACTGGGGCCATTCTGGCCCTGCAAATATTAGCTCTCTGCTCGATAGTTGCTGCCCTGCTGGCTTATCTAATGCGGCAATCGAGGAATGCCACCGATGAGTACGAGTCCCGCAACAAACGCCACGTACTCGTGACGAGCTGCGATACATGCGTGGGTCTGCAAATCGCCCTTGCACTATACGAGGCTGGTTACAAGGTAACACCCGTCGTGTTTCCACATCTTACGCGATCGTTCTTCTTACATAATTGTAACACTCGTCTTTGTGAAAGAGCGTCGTTGTAAATTAAGGAAAGTGTAAGTTCGATTGATTGTCGTATAGGTGTTTGCTGGCCTACTAGATCCCTCGTCCCTAAATTCACCGTCGATGAAAATCTTAAGGGCAATCGAGCAGCAGAAAGAAAGAGAGGAGGATCCAACGAACACGAATCACAGGAACCCGCAAGATCCGGAAGTACGTGCTCGCGGCCAAATCGTGCCATTGGAATTGGACTCAACGAGAGAAGACAGTTTACGCGCTTGTTTGGATGCAGTTAGGGCGAAACTTCCGGCTGGCGAAGATGGCAAGAAATAAATTATCGATTTAATGCGCGTTGCATAGCGAGGATTGAACGCTGCTTCGATTCTCATCGGATTCTATTCATTTTCTCACATTTCTATTCATTGCAATCTTAATTACGAATTATTGAATTTGACCTCGTCGATAGTTCTGACTCGTAGAAAGAGAGAATTGAAGTTTAACGAGTTCCTCTCGGTCAATATCGAATAAATGGAATATTTAATTAACTAAAAACAGACCCTAAAGGAACATTAATTAAGTTCTGCACGCTGTTCAAGTTCTGTTTCACAAACTTCTCGCACTCTCGTTCATAAATGGCCAAACTAGGTGTGCTCCAAGCCATTGATTTCGACTTCAAGTCGTTACTGTACCATTTTTATCTTTAATCGTATAAAATTGTAGATAATTCTATTAAGAATAGCAATTTATACTAACGTCTCAAAAAAACACGAGATCAAAAATTGCAATGATCGGACATGGTCTGTTGTCTGATTCGATATAATGGGTATTTTACGGTATAATTGTCAATAGTTCATAGCTACTTTTTGATTTTTTAAAAGTAAAAGATCTAAGCTCTTTTATTTTTATCAAACTTTCACTTACTAAATATTATACTTTAGATATCTCATGTATTATCCATTTACGTTCTGTAATCTTCTTTAGTAATTTTATTACATTTCGCACTCCGCTGCAAATTATTTCTCCTGCTTTCTGATACGTATTAATTTTCTAACATCAACATTTTTAAATACATTTAATGCGTAAGGCGCATTCCTATCATCGCTGTGTCTGTCGCGTTATTCGAAACCGACCGTTTACAGTACACTGAAGTTTCAACTTCACTTAACTACAGGTCTCTGGGCAATCGTGCACACTGGCGGCTTGGCCCTACCCGGTGCCATAGAGAGACAACCGAGTTCGGCGTGGGAATCTATGTTGCGACATAACTTGGTGGCGCCGCTTAGAACCGCCAGAATGTTCATCCCCCTTTTACGTGCAAAAAGAGGTCTGCTCCAATTTTGAAGTTGGAAATGCATGTACATGAGAGACCGTGATAAATTACAAAGAACCTTTCTTCTATTTTTTTTTTTTTTTTTTCTTTTTTTTCGAAGGACGCATCGTTCTTTTGGGCGACTCCGCGACAAGTTACGGTTCGAAAATTGGAACAGGACTGGTAGCGTACAGCGCTTCCAGGAAGGCCGTAGAAGGAGCTGCAGAAGCATTAAAAAGTGAACTACAATCTTCTGGGGTCGACGTCGTTCTCCTCAGACCGCCACCTGTGAATCCCCTTATTCTTTATAATTTGCCAGTTCTCAAAACGTAAGCCGTCAAACATTTATATCACAGTAACAGGTAACAATTCTTTCGAACGGAATAATAACAAGACTTTCGCTCTGATATTGAAGAGATTCCAAGACCCACGTTACCTTCAGATTTAAAATGAGAAACGGTTTTATTTTCAGCTGCGACGTGGAATCGGGAATAATATCTTCGGAGGGAACATGGACCGCACCTGTATCTACATATGCCATTCAAAACTCCTTAATCCCCGCACTCACGTCGCCTTGTCCACGTATTTCTTACGACATGGCTGCCAAGGCAAAACTCTTCTGTAGATGAACCAATTTTCAATTAGCGGACGCTAACGTACATCTAAATCTCGACTAGTTTTACGTCAAATTATGTATCAGTGTGAAATATTTTACAAGACTAATGACTGCTAATGCAACATCCGATAAACTTGGTCGCAAATTGAATGCATTTTAATTTCATATCATCTTGTTAAATGTATCGAGAGACATGCGTTTTCGAGAAAAATATATACAATGTACAGTTTTGTAATTAATACACCATGTTAATAGAGATTAACTGTAATTAATTTCGGAGTCGTTCTTTTGTCGTTCCGAGAATCTCCTTTCCGATTATAATTCTTAATTAACAATCGAAGAAGTTCTCACAAATAAAGTCGATAAATCAAGACCAACTAACATCTGTGCAAATATATTTTATGTTGGTATTGTAAATTATTTAGCTTCCATTATATAGTTGGTAATCATTAGAAACTATGCATATTAGTTTCGGTAACGATAGTATCCACCGTGAGTTTCACAGGTACACAAGCATCTGAATTAATAATGAATTTACTTGTAACTGACACGCAATTCTAGCAATACAGCTTTGAATTCATGTAAATGATAAATATCACACCCGCAGCATAGGAATTCAAATGAACAATTTGCATTTTCAAATTACTAGACTGTACCGTAAAATTCCTGAAGTTTTTATTGTGCAAATGCAAAAGCCTGTGAGCACACAGTTACGTAGTCCCGACGACGAAAAGAAAGATTACCCAATTGCTTCGTCATTTCATAAGCCGTCGAGTTATTGCCAAACTGTCGAGAATTAGCTAAAAACCAGACAAAAACATTACTGAGTATTACTGTCGCACAAAACCCTATTCTAATTAATCATCAGACCGTGTACAATTTTTTTCAATACGTTCGAGGGCAAGAAATATATCTATGGAAAGTTAATCGAAGCTCACATTTACTTGCCACAGTTCTTAAAATGTATTTACATGGCACTAGGTTATCAATAAACGTAACGTTAATGCAATGTTTCGATGATAAATTCGTTAATAATTCATAAAGCAATTCGTCAAAAATATTTCATTACCCGTTAGCAACGTACATTGATAATAATCATTAAATTCAAAGAGATATATTTCTAAAGAGAGGGAGAGGTAGAGAGAGGGCACTTGATTTTACATCGAATCGATAGATTACAATTCAGCCAGGAATGAATGTATCATGCGAGTGAGTGCTACGCGGAAATGCAATAAATTCAACAATAAACTGTATTGCCACGCTGGGATGCGGCTATTCAAGCGACATATTGACACTCGTTCGCTCTATCGTCGAAAACGTGCAATTTATTACTCATTAATCTTGACAGTCTAATTTACGTTACCGATCGAATATATGATAGAACGGTTTCTTTAGTGGAATTGATTGGAATCAAGATGAGGAACAATTGTAGCTTTATAAAACACGATTTCGTCAATGTGTACAACGTGCGTTTCTACGCGAAGAATTTGTGACAGGGTCGTTTCAATCGATTCTTTTGCATATTAGGACTTGATCTCGGCAGGGAGCGCGAGTTTTGCAATATAAATTTTTGTCAACCTTTTGTAATACAGTAAAACTTCGAGCGCCAATCCGTGATTGGCTGTGACGAAAACTAGAGCTAACGATTTTGAAGAAACATTCGGTTCAGCGAACACAACTGCGCCACTCACTGTATTGAAATTACCGACAAGCTGCGACAAATAAATTAATGCTTTAACGAGTTCTCTCTTTCTATCGTGAGTTGAACGCCCTTATAAAATAGGATTTTCGCGATCCAGTAATCAGTCTATCGGTGATCCTTCGAAGGAGCAAACATGGCATTGATACAGGTAGAGATTACAAATGTTGGGAATTAATAGCGGCCGCGTTGTTCCATTTGGAATGAATGACTTGAGATTATTGGTGAAAGATAACATTGCATCGATACGTTTGATTGATATAAATTCGTTGGGGAACAATAAAACAAGGATTACTACGTCGAGAATTTAGACAATTCGTCGAACGAAGGAATGCTCGTAGACTGATCTAACACGATCGATTGTCCCAATTTTCAAGTTTCACGATGTTATATTGATTAAAGAGTGTGGCCACGTTCCGTTCTGTGAAACGGATGGGACGAATTATTACAAAGTCGTAATCGTAAAGTAGGAACGCAACAACATGTTCTTCTAGAGGTCTTCACGCGAGTCCGATCCGCTTATCAACCATACTTCGAAAAAGAACAATCTCCATAATTGAAATTAATCTTTGTTGTGCTCTTTTAACATTCGATTTCCACGATTGTTCGAAATAATTCAATGATGTCTACACTGCGAATTTTTGTGCACTTTCAAATTTTCTTTGGAGTAATATTTGGTATATTTTTGCATATTATGTGTGTGTTTTTGCACCCTTGAGTTTTCCATAAATTGCAGAGTACATAGATTGAAAATTGATGACAATTCTTTTTCGTTTTATTCGCTTTCAGAACCTGATTGTTTTTGTCTGCTTCGCGATCATCTTTGTTAGTGCTCGACCAAAAATGCATCACGAAGGTAAGAGACATAAGATCTACAATCACTGTGGATATTTATGCAAATTTATATTTTTACCTGGACGAACACAGGGATACGTGAGCAGAGACTCGCCTTTGTATTTTTATTTTACATAATTTCGCGCAAGTTTTGAATATTCCCGTGGTTGCATACAGATCGGCAATTTTATAGTTGAAATTTAAAAGTGATTTCGGCATTTAATTTCAGGCGACGACAGAGCTGGACATAGTCATGGCCACGCGCATTCCTTTCATCACTTTTCTGGGCCTGTGGAGGGCCATCACGAGGAAGTCACCTGGAAAGACAAACACGGTCACCATCATCACGACTACAAGGCTCATCCGAAGTATAAGTTCGCTTATGGCGTGGATGATAAACACACTAAGGACTACCATGGACAGAAGGAGCATCGCGACGGTACGTTACTGTAGCACGCTGAAAACATTGATCGAGTGCCGACAAGAAAACGTACCTCGAGACTCGATTTCGTGCTCTTAATTAGAATCTCGAACCAATTGGACAGTGAAACTTCCTCTTAATTAAAACTAGCGGCAAGTTTGTTTGTCGACTAGTTTCTAATCCTAGGATTCTTTCCTTCGTTTTGCAACGAAAGGGCTACATAGTGTGAATGTAAGAAGAACTTGGCGTGCTTCGAGTGCTTCATACGGATATTTGAAAGATTAAGATTAACAAAGACATATTAAATCGCAGGGAAAGAAGTCGAAGGGGAATACCACATTCACGAACCTGGTGGCAACGTGAGAACTGTGAAATATCATTCTCATCCTCATGGAGGTTTCTTCGCGGAGGTTCATAATTATGGAGGAAATGATCACTCTGGTGGTACTTACGGCGGACACAAGCATAGATAGATAACATGATATTTGTTGTTATTACGTTCACGTTGTTGTTGTTGTTGTTGTTGTACCGACATTGCTGTTTGCTACATACACATTGTATATTTTATCATAGAGTAGAGTAATATCTTGTTATTACATCACGTTAATAAACATTGAGCACAAAATGCATCAGAAAGCAAATTAAATTTCCAAACCAAAATTGCATAGTGAGCGACATTAAATAAACGCCTAGTTCGTCGTCAAATTCTTGCCAGTTCTATTTCTTTCTCCGAGAATGCAAGTTATGAAAGTACATCAGCTAATTTCTTTCCTCGTGGACTGAGTAATTAAAGCAAAGTAAGCATTGCTCTCAAATATTTCTTCTTCAAGTCAGTACTTCTCGCAAAGATAAACAGAGGAAGCAATTTTTGCAATTAATTAATCAAACTTTCCTAAATTATTTCAAAGATCCCTCCTTCCGTCCCAACATTGTTAAAGATTAAAGCTCTAGTGACGATAAAATTTCACGAGGAACTTGTTCGGGAATGCAAACGCATTATTCCGCTTTCAAAAATACGGCGACACACGATCCTTTCGCTTGTGCAACGATGCGTGATACACTGCAACATCTTCTGATTCTGGTTCTACACTTTACATGTGGCATTGTATATTTTCGCATCGTCAATTCTAGCGATGATAAAATGCCTCTTAAATCTCGTTAAAATAATCAGCTTCCGTTGCGTTGCCTATCTTTTGCTTATCTCCCGGAGAATTATTTTAACTACATAAACCTCTACTCAGCCAGCTCGAAATATGAAACTGGAAAGAAAGTAGCGTATCTTCCATTCGATATTTACGGTAAAATTAGCAAGAAACTCTTGTTTCTTTTTATATATATTATTTATATGTATATTTTTTAATACACTGATGCAATTTGTTTGTATAACCGTATGCAATTATATCATATATCGCGTGTATTTATTTCAATTTGCAGAAGGTTTCACGTTTCACACGTGAACTGACAGTACAATGGGTTGGTTCACGATTTGTTGTAAATCGTTCGATTTTGAAGGGGAAATGTAACGATACGTATTAACGAGCTCGATACGGTTACAGAGCAACCTACAACGAGATCCGCATAATGGTGTCCGTCTCGAATTATATGAAAAATAATATTTTTCTCGGTTATAATAAAATTCGCGAATATTTATGATTTCACAATGCCGTTGCACGGAGCTAATTGTACCGTTAATATTTTAATAAACGGCTGGCCAATGGAAACGAGGAGAACCAGGAATTCATCACAACTGCCTACATGTTCACGCATAAATGACGCATATCCATTCCGTATACGAATGCGCGCTGCAACGCGCAGCGCAGATCGATACAGTCCTTACCGAAGTGAACGGATGGATTACGAGCAGACTATGTGAAATAACCTTTCCTCGCAAAGAAATACGTCAAGGAAGTGCGGGGCGGGGGAGGGGAGGGGGTTGCCTCGTTGCATCTATGCAATCTCACGCCTCTTGCCATCCTCTTACGCTTCCATCTCGTTCAGGACGGATACACTTACTTAATCCTTCGAAGATCCGATGGTAGAAATTCCAGGTCACAGTGCACCTTTAATCTGTTGCCGGGCCAATTTTTACGCACAAATTATAAGAATACATAGACGAGAAATATTTAGCTACCAATTGTAAAATTTGGTCAATTTCATTACTGAGGAACAGTTGAAGATGTGCGTACATTTATTGTTGTAGAACATATTTATACACATTTGATCTCCCAGATGGAGAGATGTATTTTCTGTTTTTTCTTTTCTCTTTTCTCTTTTTTTTTTTTTTCTTTCACTCGGTTTCAATCTATGTTTATTAACGACGATTTCGTTTTATATAAAGTCGTACGTTCGACGTTTCAAACTTTTAATCTCAACGTATGACTAAGTAAAAAGCTTCAATGAATGAACTTTCGTGTTTCACTTTGACAACTTCGAACTCGATTAAACGTTGTGTCAATCATACGCAGAGGAAACATTAAAATTAACGACGTTCCAAAGCCAAAAGACCACTCCAACCTCTATGAATGCGCAATATCTTGAAAGTACTTCTTAAAAATATTACTTGGAGTGATGCACAATTACACCCATAAATATTCCAACACTAAATTAATAAATCGGAAATTTACTTTGGAAAATTGTTAATGTTTAAACTACCGTGATATCGTTGAAAAAATCCAAAAACTTCAACTTATTTTAAAGGATAAAGCCTCTGCTTTCACAATCTTGGATTCGTTTTCTTTAAACATGTTTTTTCATTGTGTAACCAGTAGAAAAACAAAGATAACTTCTTTTTTTCAAAGATTCTGTAAATTCAAACATTTGTAAGTGCATTAAGAAAACTTTTTCATTACTAAGTCTTAAACAATAATCTTTTAAAACTTTTGTCAATGTTTTATTCAACTTTCAATATATAGTGAATAATACAATTGTGCCAATAACAATGAAAAATTGTCGATAATATTCAAACGACGAAATGTT